CAGGATCGTCACGTTGGGCCGGTTGAGCAGATACACAAAGCTGCCCTGGCGCTGACCCTTGTAGATCGAGTCGACGCAGTGGGTGAGCCCGTGCATCTCGCCGGAGTAGATGTCCTCGGTCAGTGGTTCGCCCTTGGACACCCAGGCCTGGCTGAGGGCGTCGCGGAAGGGCTGCAGCTCGGGCACCAATTCGGCGTGGGAGATCTGCAGGGGCCCACCGGAACCGATCTGGTGCAGCTCAGCCGGGTACAGCTTCTCGTCATCGTGGTAGGTGGCGCATTTACGCAGGTACTCAACGCAGTTCGCCCAGGTCCAATCCCGGCCGCCGAAGGGCTCCCAGTCGTCGAAGGTGGCCGCCGACCCGGGGATCCAGGTGAAGTAGTTGGCACACGAGCTGCCGCCCAGCGCCTTGCCGCGCGTGTTGGGCTTCTCCACGCGCTCGTAGTCCTCACGCTTGATCATGGTGCTTTTGTACGCCCAATCGTACTGGCTGCCCCGCAGCCCGAAGGCTTTGGACGGCGTCGTGATGTCTTCGATCTCGTGCGAGTTAGCGACACCGGCCTCGACCACGAGGACCTTGACGTCCGGGTTCTCGGCCAGCCGGCCCGCAATGCAGTTTCCTGCCGTACCACCACCCACGACGATAAAGTCGAACTGGGAGTTGTTGGCAACTGACATGATTATGGATTAGGGAGATATGGAAGTAACAAGGGTGATTCACTGAGATTGAAGATTGTGAGATGATTGTGATCTTGCTGCTGATGCTGATGCTGATGCTGATGCTGATGCTGATGCTGATGCTGATTCTGATGATGCGACTCGAGCGGTGCCATCACTGCCTTATATCCTGTTCTCTTCATGGAGGACACGATGGGTCGGCTACCTTGGACAAAGAGTGTCTCGTATAGACCTGCAGTGAGGCCCGAGTTTGGCCCGTTGATTGTGCCGACATATCCGCGCTCATCCGGATTGATGCAAGACAGACTGGGGATTGACGTATGAGGGGTAAGCGAGGGATTTATGAGGCATTCGAGTATGCGGGTACAGGGTTTGGGGACGACCAAGCATGGTGTTGATGATTCTTGTTCTGCTCGTAACCGGAAAAATACACCCGAGCTCGGCGAGACCGGCCAGAGATCGGAGTCTGTCGGCATACGGTCATGTGATCTCACGAGTACCTGGCAATGCGCCGAACTTTGACCGATTGACCAATCAAAGGGCGCTGATTGTGCTGACGGGGCGCCCCCTCATGAGGGGCAGGCACGGTGAGGGGAAAAGCCGTAGAGAGCAATGATGTTACTAAATTTCCCCTCACTGACCCTCACTGACCCTCTAGATTCCCTGGCCAAACGTCAACATCCCCATCCACTTTTGGCACTAGGTGAGACCGTGCCTCCGAGAAAATTTCTGTCCCGAGATAAAGGCTTCACCGCTGCTGGAGCGCCACGTTTGCAATCGCTTGCAATCGCTTGCAATCCCTATCTTGCCGTTAGTCCAGAGATAAGCCTACCTGGCCGTAGCCGTATATAACTCCCACATCTCACGATCGCCCCCCGCGATCCATAATTTCCCCCCTTTCTCCCCTTTTCACAAACTCAATCCTCATCCACACATACTCCACGCCATGTCCAAGCCTACTTTCACCCTCGCTGAGGGTATGTCTAGACCCTCTCCGATGGCCATTGTTGATCACTTCTCTGACCCATCCATCCAGGCCAACCTGTCACTGACCCTGCGGTCAGCACCACCCTGCCCACCTTCGGTGGCGGTGGCCTCACTACCCTGGGAGACACTCTGCTGATCGAGACCCTGACACATTTCAACCGGGAGAGAATTCCGGAGCGGTACGGATCCTTACCCCTGCACTGCCGATCCCCGATCTGCATGCAGCTCATGTGCATGGGACGCGAACTAATCGGCTCGCAGAGTCGTCCACGCCAAGGGCTCCGGCGCCTGGGGTGAATTCCGCGTCACCAAGGACATCTCCCACCTCACCAAGGCCAAGTTCCTGACGGGCGTGGGCAAGAAGACCAAGGTGCTGTTCCGCCACAGCACCACGGGCGGTGGTCTGGGCAGTGCCGACACCGCGCTCGACATCCACGGATTCGCCGTGAAGTTCTTCACCGAGGAGGGTAACCATGACATTGTTGGCAACCACGCCGTAAGCCCGTCTGCGCCTGCATCGCACCGAGTTCCGCTGAGCTGACACAACCACCGACAGCCCGTTTTCTGGGTGCGCGATCCCATCCGCTTCCCCGCGGTGAACCGCAGCCACAAGAAGCACCCCGCCACCAACCGCGGCGACCCCAACATGGTAAGCAGCCAGTACATCCGGAACAACATGTCGGCCAAGCAGCGCACTGACCCACGCGACAACTCTAGTTCTGGGACTTCCACGTCAACCAGCCCGAGAGTGTGCACGCCTTGATGCACCTGTTCGGCTCGCGCGGCCACCCCGAGTCGGCGCGCAAGATGACCGGGTTCGGCATCCACACTTTCAAGCTGGTGTCCGAGGACGGCAGCTTCCGCTACTGCAAGTTCCACTTCAAGCCCGTGCAGGGCATCAGCAACATCAGCTCCGACATGGCGACGCGGTTGGCGGGCACCAACCCGGACTCGTACAACCAGGATCTGTGGGAGGCGATCGCGCGCGGCGACCACCCGGTGTGGAAGCTGTACGTGCAGGTGATGGAGCCCGAGCGCGCCGAGACGTTCGGTCGGGCGTTGTTCGACATCACCAAGGTGTGGCCGCACAAGGACTTCCCCTTGATCGAGGTTGGCGAGATGACTCTCAACCGGAACGTGCGTTGCCCCTTTTGCCTGGTGCATCATTTCCGAGAAATAGCTGACCATTCGTGCACAGCCCGAGAACTTCTTCGCCGAGATCGAACAGGCGGCTTTCTCTCCCTCCAACCTGGTCCCCGGTGTGGCTGCCACTCCTGACCCGAGTATGTCCCTCTCCCCGTCCACTGGAAAAGTCAACACAACCCCTAACACAGTGTCTGTATAGTGCTCCAAGCCCGCATGTTCGCCTACCCCGACGCCCAGCGCTACCGCCTGGGTGTCAACTACCCGCAGCTCCCGCCCAACAAGCCCGTGTGCCCGGTGTACGCCCCCTACCTGCGCGACGGCGCCCACACCACCACGCACAACTACGGCGGCGACCCCAACTACGTGCGCAGCACGCTCACCCCCGGGGTGAGCAGCCCGTCGGCGCAGGAGGTGCGCCACCACGAGTTCCTGCGGATGGGCGGGGTGCTGGGGCTGAACGAGATCTCCGTGGACGATGAGGACTTCGTGCAGCCGCGCGCGCTGTGGCACAAGGTGTTCGACGAGCAGGAGCGCCGGCTGTTCGTGACGAACCTCTGCAACTCGCTGGAGGGGGTGGTGCCGGAGCTGCAGCAGGCGACGGTGGCCATGTTCAGCCGGGTGGATCCCCGAATCGGACAGATGATGGAGGCGAATCTCAAGGGGGGTGCGCGGTTGTAGGTCGTCGTCGGGGCCGACGGGGCCGACCGGGGTGGAGAGGGGAGTTTGTTTTCAAGCGATGCATCCTTGCCTGTGGATTTTTGCCCAAGTTAGACAAAGTTAGACGTGTCTTAGATTTAGACTAGACATAGACGGTCATAGACAATCCTAGACAAATACAGTCAAAGACGTACAGGATCTTCTTGATGAGTATGGAGTGTGTGTCAGTTGTGACTCGGTGAGGTGGAGAGAGAAAGTCGCGTCGAGGAGAACTGATAAGCCCACCACGACGTTATCGGGTGGATCACGTGCCTGCTCTCTTATGCCTTAGGCATGAATATGCGGTCGGCAGCCTCAGGCAGGAGCGCAGTGTCGATCCGCAATTCCACCACTGGATTGATCATGGCCACAAGACACACGCACAAAGATACAGAAGTGCATCGGAAGACATTCGGACTGTTGCGACAACTTTTTTTCACAATCATAGTATCTCCATTGACTTGGAACAGTATCCTCACCCCATTCACCCACTCACAACACTATGAGATCATCCCGTGACGTCATCCCGACTCCGCCCGTGTCCTCGCATCGCATGGCATCGCCAGGCCTCGCAGAAACGCATCCCATAAAACCCACCCACCGACCTGCATCTCTCACCCTGACCCTCCAAAACCACTCAATCGCATATCCACCACCCAAACCAACAACAACAACAACAACAAAATGCTCGACTCCATCCCCCTCACCCGCAGCCGCCGCAGCGACGAACTGACCCGGCTCGCGGACCAGCACCTGCAACACGACCTGTCGGCCTCCGACCGCGACGCCCTGCAATCCGCCGCCCGCACCGTCTCCCTCTGGACGACCGTCGGCTCCGCCGTGGGCGTGGGTCTGGGACTCTACACGGCTTTCCGGCTGCGGAGCTCGCGCCGCGCCTTCTTCGAGGTCTTCCGCGCGCAGCAGAAGCCAACGAAGGTGGTGTTTGCGGATGGGCGGACTGGTATGCACCCCCCCCCCGTTCCAACATGATTGAAGCTCAGCTAACGCGAGGGTGCTCGACGCTAGAATCCATCCCCGATATCACCTCGCTGCTGAAACCCACCACGTTCGGCGACTTCGCGACGTATTTCTTTGCCTCGGCGGGCGGGTTGTTTCTGGGCGGGGAGTTGGGTATGTTTCCTCTGCATGTCATAACAACAGTAAGAAGAGAAGTATTGACAACGTGATAGGCTTTCTGAGTGGTGCCGCCGTCGGCAGCCGGGGGATCACCAACGAGCCCGAGCGCCGGAAGCGCATCGAGAATGCCTTCCGGCGGTTCCGGGCGGATGTGCTGAGGCGGGAGGCGGATGCTTTGGACGGCGATCGGAATATTATTGAGAAGATGTTTTAATTCTTGGGAGTGTTGGAAGGGGGGTTGTTTTTTGTTTCTGGGCATTTAAGGAGGTGTGGTTTTCTCTTTCTGGGCATTGAATGGGGAGATGGTTGTCTGCGTGCACATGCACCTCGATACCCGGTGTGTATTTTAGCGAATATTATTGAATCTTATCGGATAAGTGCATCTCATGCGGTGTAGCTGCAGGCCAAGTACTACACACGCGAACTGATGAGGATATTTTGCATCCCAGAAGTGAATATGTACACGGCCCATTAGCCCGCCAACCCAACTCTACACCCCAAATACATATATTCAAAACACAGTCCCAACCCCAACCCCAACAGCCCAAACGTGCCCCCAATCACCCCGAGAAGAAAAGTCAACACCCCCCAACCCACCGCCACACACCCCGACAACGTGTCTTCCACGTCCCCGAGAAATAATGCTTGACCAGCACCTCCGCCGAGCGATGGTCCTCGCCCTGCGTGATGGCGAACCCGCGCTTGGGCAACACCACCACATCCCTGATGCGCAGCGTCTCCTGCAGGTCTCGCAGGGTGTGCAACATCCCCTCATCGGCCCCGAGATACTCGAGAACGGCATCCGTCCAGACGCTCGGGCCCGTCCACTCCATCACGTCCGGCGGTTCCACCCGCGCGCGATCTTCTTGCCCTAAACGCCGGAGATACTCCTCCGTCCGGTCGACGATCTTCCCCAAGACCGCCCTGAAGATCGGATGGCCCGGCGCCGCGACCATCGTCCACTGCACGAACTGCGGCGACCGCGGCAGACCGCGCGTGGCGGCGTCGCCTTCCAACCCGATGATGGCGGCGGGGGGACCACTCTCCCTTGGTGTCCCGGGGGCATCTCCATCTCCAGGATGATCCCCCGATTCATCTCCCAACATCACCCCCCACGGCAACGGCTGCATCAGCCGCACGTCCAGATCATTGTACACGCCGCCCCGCGCGTACAGGATCAGATAGCGACAGAAGTCCGATTTCAGGACGGCGGAGGGCAGGGCGGCCAGCGCGGCGGCGTAGCGGCCGGACGACGGGTCGGTGGCGCGCGCGAGTTCGGCGCACGCCGCCTCGGTCCAGTACTCGATCTTCCAGCCGGATTGCTGCCAGGAGATGGTGTGCTGGGAGGGACGGAAGGCGGAGACGGGGTGGTTGGGCATGGAGAGGAGGAGGTGGTGGATTGTTTGGGGGATGAGGAGGTCGGTTGCTGCTGCGGTGGAGGGGATGGGCTGGCTTGTGTCTGGATCGGGGTGTGGCTGGGGGTTTGGGTGTGGGTGTGGGTGTTGATGGGGTGCGTTGGGCGGTGGTGTTGATGGTTGTAGGGTTGGTGTTGTATACCGCAGCAGCGAGAGGATGAGACACAGCGCCACGATGGCCTGGACTAGCTGCAGTGGTCGGAGAGGCATGGTTGTTGATTTCGTCGCCCTCTATTTTCATAGATGATGTTGGTACTCAGTTGCAGTCACCTCCCCTTATTGATGGCCGACAATAACAATCGTCCATCCCGCGGAGTTGGAGTCGGTTTCGGTTTCGGTTTCCACCCAGCAACGTTGACCTTCAACCCAGCACAACACAGCACAGCACAACACAACACGCGCGCGCACGTACCTTCCCAGCTACGTCCAGCAGCGCAACATCCCACTTAAGTACCCCGTACTCCCGAAGAAACAGGACTGGTTCATTTTCTGGCTGCCAAGTGCCAACATCCCCCGCCCCACTCCCGAAAAGACTAAGGGCTAGGCGATGACGCCGATAGGGCTGGGCAGCTGGGCGCTGTCTCTTGGAGAGCTCTCGGCATTCCCTATACTCGATCGATCCTCTGTCTTAGAACAGGGGGGCGAGATGGGGGAGGTTACATCGTGTGCTTAGTTACCTCCCTCTTTCCCTGAAACTAAAAACAGTAGTTCTCAGACGAGCACAAAGAGCACGGCGCTAGAACCCTCCCCTCCCACAAAGAATCAACCCGGGGATCGGGAAGAGGCGTTCGTCAATCACCTCGAAAACCAACCAGGCTAAGCCACACTTGTACCTAGTCCGTCGATGGAAAAAACAAAGCCTGCAAGAACTCCGACTGGTAGCTGGGAGCCCGCTTGGCGTTGGCGATACAGCCGATTATTCGTTGACAGTCCCAAATGTGGGTCGGTGGTGATCAGGCAGAACAATTTGGGAGGAATTTGCCCTAGAGAGATTAAGGTACCCGAGGCCGGGAGGGGCCGTGCGTTAGGTGGTGATCCGCGTGTGTCGGGGACTGGACTGGAGGGTTGGCTGGAGGGTTGGATGAGAGGGGGGAGAGGGTGTTATTGTAGATGTAGATTGAATAGGCAAGCTATGTGGAACGAGAGCTAGAGATTGTGCGGTGTGTTCTATCCTACTCTACTACTCGTGTATCTCCAGCGGTAGACAGCCACTGCTCGAATTTGGAAGGCAGTCGCGTGATCATCTGAAGCATGGATGTAGACTCGATCATTATCGTGGTGGGACCTGCACAGCAGCATAAGGGTCTAGAATCTCGATTTGCGTATCGTAGTACCCCGAAAGTACAATCAGTTCTATTCTCCGACAACAATAGCACAATCACCAGGTCACAAAGTGACGGTCAAGATAAGCTATCTGCTCCTAGCCCGATCTGGTCACACAACAGATTAAGGTCCCCTCACGAGAACCACTGCACTGCTCAAAGTTAATGTTAGTGTTTGTCCTTAGTGTGCTGCTGTACTATTCCTCATCGATCCCTAACCTCGACCGCCCACTGCCTCCGCAGCCCACTCGACTAATCCATCCCTGGCATCTACCCTATCTACACTACACCAGACAAACCTATCCCGGAGACTACCAAGCAAACTCTACGCTACTCCACACAATCACCGAGTGACTCATGTACAGAACCCCTGCATAAACTATAAACTATCTCTCACAAAAATGCCTGCTAGAAAACAAGTCGTAGAACCAACCCCAACACCGCAAAGAAAACCCAGACAGCCCAGCTAAATCCGGGACTAGCTATGTATGTATATGTATAAGGATGCAATGCACGTATGTATAGATGAATGGAAAGCTCGGTCGCTGCCGGCGGGGGCGTCCACTCGCCAGCTAGCCACTTCTCAGCTTGAAATGATTACGACTGAGCGTTGTTGGCACAAGTCCAGCTGGCCGAGGAGGTGCTGTCGTGGATGGATTTGCCGGAGACGTAGAGTCCGAGACCGCACTGCGATTGCGATAGTATTAGTAAGATGCCCTCGAATCCAAACCTAGAAGGGATGGAACTCACAATCGCGCACGCAATACCGAGAATGATTAGGTTGACGATAGTCAGGAAGATCTTCGAAGGAGTCGCGGTGTATTGGCCCTTGTTCATGATCATCCACATGAGAGCGGGGATACCATCTGAAGGATTGTTAGCATCGCATAGAGAAATGGAAGTCAGTGCGAGACACTTACAACTGAACCAACTGCCGAAGAGAGAGCACTAAACAATGGACGGGATTAGTAAGCGATCCGGGCACAAGGGAAACTCCCACACGTACAATCAAACTCAACAGGTCGTTGAAGACGGGGATGGACTCGGCAATCACCCAGGCGATCACCCACACACCCAAGGCGATACCGATCCAAGATCCGACCACGGCGGGACTGTTCGTGTGCATCTGGGGAGACCCACGCCACACCCGCACGAAGATGTACTTGCAGGCGACGTGGCCGAAGATGACACCGGCGATGATGACCTAACAATGTAACAATGAAATCAGCACGCAGAATCGTGACAACCACCCCCATGAACTGGACATACCGTAGGAATGGCAAGACCGTAGGCGACCTTGCTCATGAGCGGGCCGGCGGAAGACAAAGCCGGAGACTTGACGTCCGGTCCGGCGTAGCGGTAGATGACCATCGCGGTGATGATGTACATGGTCGTGTCGAGCACCTGCAGCATGGCCAGGGACTTGGGGAAGTCCCGGACATCCTCCATCTCGGACATGATACCGAAGAAAGCCACGTGGGCAACTATGAAGTGGTCAGCACCCATCCCCAGCGAAACCCACAGAACCCGGGATGACGCTTACTGAAAGCGAAAATGATGTTGGTAACGGCCAAGAAAGCATTGACGAAGCTCGGGTGCGTGGTCACGTCGTTCTGGACGTGAGCCGGGGCCTCAACTCCAAGCGCAATCATCGTGACGACGGTGGCGACGATGATACTCAGGCAGGCTGTCGGAACCGATCAATAACATGCACCTGCGGAACTGACATGCGGGGACGCCTTACAAACGATGGACATGTAGTACACCTTGCCCATGGTGCGAGGCAGGGCGAAGATACAACTGATGACGAGACCGACCACTCCGAAGACGATGGTGCAGGTGCCGTGGCCGGTGATGGTATTGAACAGCACCGTGAAGGTGAGCACGTGACTGGACATCAGGAAGATGCAAAACAGCAGCTGGCCGAAGAACATGATCTCGCGTCCGATGCGACCCATGAGCAGCTCTCCGGCGTCTCCCATGCTGTGGACTTGGGGATAGCGCAGCTTAAACTGGCCCATCACATAACCGGTGTACCAGGAGATACCCGACATTCCCAGGATGATGAGAATGGAGCTGACCAGGAGATTAGTCTGACGGTACTGCCAAACATGTCTCTGTTGGATTAGGGTTAGATAGGCACTTACGGGACGATACCCAAGGTGGCGACCGCGGAGGGCAGCGACAGAATACCCAGCGAGATATTTTCGGCGATCATGACTAAGGAAGGGGCTTTGTTTAGATGGCGGATGCTGGCGGACGGGCACGGTGCCCTAAGAGACAACTAAACTCACGCATGCCGCAATTCCACCACTTCATCGTGCGGAACTTGACTTCGGCCATCTCTTCGTTGCCGAACGGGTCATCGGCCGGGGGGGACTCATTGGGGGCGACCTTCTCGATCTTTTCGTCTTCGTCGTGGTACTGCTGGTGGGCATCGAAGGCCTCAACATCTCTACCGTGGCTGGTCATAGTGACGGGGAGAGTAGAGGAAAAAGAAAAGTAATAGAAGTGCAAGAGTGGCGTGGAGGAGGAGAGGAGAGGAGAGTGTCGTGAGTTGAGTCGTAAAGCGTAGTCAGTCAGTAACACAGTAGCAGCAAGAGAAGAATGATAGGGCGCAGCAACAACCAAGTCAACGGGCCAACTTTCAAGAAGAAGAGGAGGAGAGAAAAGCAAGAGACGGGGACTCCAAAGGTGGAGGGAGGATATAAGAAAAAGAAGAGCCCGGGCTGGCCGCAGTCGCTTCGTTGCATCCACGGCGGATCGGCAGATTTAGGCTTTTTCACACTTGGGGGAATCTGTGTGGGGGGGGTCCAACACTCTACCAGACCACCACCCAAACCGGTAACAATCATCACTGTTACAGGTGGAGTCGTCCGGCCGAACCCAGAATTCCGTCCGCTGATAATGTCCCCTCGACAAGTCAATGTGTACGCAGTATCGTTTGCTTTACGTTTTATCAATGGTTTCAGGCGACTAACCCCCGGCCCCAGTGGTCCGGTACCTGATCTTGAATCCTGGCTGACAGCTCCTGCTCTTACCAGCTGGATCCATGACCTCAACCTGCATGGATCACCCTGATCAGCTGGAGCCTGGGAGCCTGGGATGGAGAAGAGATAGTTCTGCACGGGGCTGAAGTAATTCTCCCGAAGTTGCTCCCCAGCGACAGTTACTGCGCAGTACGCACCCCGTATAGATTAATCAATGGCAGCTGCTGCCACAGCCCTAGATGGCCCAAGCGTGGCTACCTCGCTTAGTGAGGTTTGCTCGCACTTGCCCATGGCTACATCCGTCCTCCGGAAACATACAAGCCTTATAGAAATTTCCATGGGAGGACGGGGCTGACCCTCAGTGTTATCACGAGGGGATGGGATAATGGTGTTGGGTAATGAGAATGGGGGAGAGACTACAACTGAGTCAGGGCCAGGTAGGGACGTGCATCCGAGTCAAGACGGTAGGAATAATGCAGCAGGAATAAGATGGAGATACAGAGATTCATCTTATCAAGCATGCACATGCACATGTACTGCCACTACTCGTCTACCTAGCATGCAATGGGCGGCAAAAAAAAAGAACCTTCATCCTTCATCCTTCATCCATCCAGGGCAAAATCTGCGCCTCCCGGCGAGACTAGTCCTGATCCGGGTCATCACTAAACCTGAAACCGTAAGGCCCGGCTGGCTCTAGTCTGCATGCGGCATGGATTCCACGGCGCAGGTGCTGACTCAGCCTTCCATCTGAACGATTTTTATGCCTGCACCACCTGGCACCACCTGGCTGGCACGCATGTCGCCTGCCTTTCCTATTCCAGACGAACGCTTGGGAAATGTCTCCACGGTCTGTGTTACACCTGCAGCAGAAGATGCGGAGAAAGTTTGCCCCGGCCAA